ATAATTCAAAATTAAGTAGTATATTTAAGATTTTCTATGCTAAGTATATTTAGAAGCTTCTGGTATGAAAATTTCACACTATAGGACAAAAGGTATGAGGATGAGCTAAAAATGTAACTTTTGCCTAGCAAAACCACATTTTCTTTCATAGAAATATAGGCAAGGACATGCATACATTTTCTATATTGGACGTGGAAAGGGGCAATAACCAACACACACTTGAAAACTTACTTGTAGTTGGGATAAAGCACTAGCTCCTTTGCTCTCTTGGGAAAGGAAGAAGCGTACAGACATAAGAAGCTCTTGAATACAGCAGCGAAATTCCTCCTCATTTTGTCCACCAGTGGCAATAGAGAATAACCTTCGAGACTGAACTATATACTTAAAGATATATTCCTGTGCCTACAAATATCAAAATCAGAGATAACTCATAACAATGAACCAGCTCATCTTTAAATAGAACACATGCAATGATTGTATCATTCAAATAATGACACGGGTCTGAAAGAGAACACCCTGTCATTTAATTTTGGCAAATCTTTCTACTGAAACACAAACAACATTTCAAAACCATACAGTCAGAAATACTCTTCCTGTGCCTTTCCTAATTTCTATAAACCAGAGAACACTTGTATTTTCAATAAATGGAAAACTGCAAAATCTCAGCATTGCTCCCCTCTTCCCATGCCTTGCATGTCTTTGGCTATAGAAACACTGGCTGCATAAACATACAAGGCCCACATAGGAAATAGGCTGAAATACTGAGCTTTTCTTAGAAGTTATCTGTCTGTTAAAAGTTGTTTTCCTGCCAACTGTTAACCAGATAATACCAAAAAACCCTAGCTTAAATTAAGTTGCAAAACTGTTGGAATGTAAATTAAAAATACAGCCCTTTCTTATTAACAAGGCACCTAAGTTAACATGAGCATAGTCAAAGCCAGAAAAAGGGTACCATGTCGATACTCTATTTCCAGACTGTAGCACCTGTCCCACATCGGATTGTTGTGTTGCACAACTCAGCCTGGCCATACACTCTGCTCTGTTGAAATGGAGCAACAAAGCAACAAACCCCACCATTTTCAGTAGAATTCTCCAGTGTCAGGATTGAACAATTAAGTTAGTATGCATTTCTGCCACTTAGATTCAGTTATGTGACAGTTGCTAATACCACCAATGCAACCTGTATTTGATTTCTTAGATCAAGCTCCTATTCATGTATATCCTCAGTCAGTAAGGAACACAGAGCTCCAGAGTCTAGTGGTAGTAAGCTCTATTGATCAACTTAGTGACAAAAAAGAACAACTAATAAATTGACTGCACTGAAAAAAGTCTGCAGGGCCCTAGAATCAGTACCACCATTCCATTATTTATACATACATTCATACATATAATTTATACAAACTCTGCTTCACTTCTTACGTTAAACCTATATGAATACAGCATTCAAATATAAAACAGCCTTTGAGGATTCTTATTACCTTTAGTACTTCCTGTATGTGCTCGTGCAGCTCCACTTCAGTGACACGATCAATATGCCACTTTAGTACTTTTATAAGATCTCTAGAATAGCATATCAGAAAATATTACAACACAGAAGTGGGAGAAGGGTTAATTTTGCACATAAAATGTAAACCAAAAGCTATCATATGAGAAACTGATGAAATAAAAGAAGACATAACTAAATTTCACTAATCACTACAGGGCCAATATTACACTTAGTTTTTAATCTGCTGAAAGCCACCTCGGAGGTTCCTGATGAAGAGGAAATAATACCAACATTACATATTCAGTAGAATGATTTTGACAGGGATACACAAGCTCAGTTAACCCAGAATAGTCCCTGCCAGCACAGACTAGCTCTGCTATTCCAGGCATTGATTTTGATGGAAGTGTAAGTAGCAAATAAATACAGAGAGAACAGCAGAGCAAGTGATACTTATTAGCGCACTGCTGTTACATAGACAGCAAACACAGTTGCAGCTTGGATGATGTTAAGGCTCGTATGTTTTTCAAAGTAATTCAAGTAAAGAGATCCACTAAAGAAAAAGATTTCAAAATGAAGCCAATGTTTGAGCATTATCCAGTAATCTTTCTGGTAACATAAAGGTTTTTTAATCTTTTTTAATGGCCTAAGTCTGGGCATTCATACAAGCATTGTATTTTATTTCTAACAATACTGTTTAATTTAACCTAAAGATTGATTCTGCCTAGTTTACTAGTAACTATCAGTATTCAAATCAGATAGAAAAAGTACAGACTTCACCTGTATGCAAGTGCTCCTGCAAAGTGACTTTCGATATAAGTGTCCATTACTGGCTTAAAGTGGTGAAACTTGCTGTCCTGCAGCAAATTTATTATGTGAACCTAAATGTGAAGGAAAAAAAAAAAAAGATATTCCTTTTTATACTTCATTCTTAAATAGTATTAAAAATCATTTAAAAAAAAAAACAAACAAACTTACTTACCAAACAATCGAATACTTTTGATCCATATTTTTGAGCGTTTTCATCTAAAATCCCAAATAAAGTGTCTAGTGTATCTTGAAGAAACTGGAGAGAATAAGAGACAGTTTGTTATTAAACAAATATTTTTGTAACACCCCTTGTATAATCTAAAAGGATAGAAAGGTATATACCTTCACTATTTCTGAACCATCAATTTCTTTTAATTTTGAGAGGCAACCTGCAATTTTGTCTGGGTGGGTTCTCCATTTCAGAAGGTCAAGCATATCTCCTGCAAAAACAAAATGCAAGATTTAAACTGGAAGCAAAGCAGCATTTCAGATTTAAAATTCTACTCTAACAGTCCACTCCGTAAAACTTGGCATCATTAAAACAAAAGAGAACATCTGAAGATTTGCTGTAATATGATCTGCCAAATAACAAATTTTCATTCCATCATTGCTCCACCAATAGAAACATAAGAACATGGTATTGTCTCACTACAATCAGTCTTCTGTGGCAGCAGTGTCATGCAGTCTTGTTCAGATGTTTGTCAGCTACCATCTTAAGAAAAGTCATTATTTTGCTGTCCCTTGTCCCATTAAAGGATTTGTTCCAGATATAGTCCCCTGACAACTAGAAAGTCTCCTGATTACTAGTTTCAGTATATTTAAAATATTTATATTCTCATTTTACAGAACAAATAATATCTCTGTTTATCCTGCTTTATTAATACAGAACAAAATCTCTTCTGGAAAATAAACTCTTCTGAGCTAAAACATACCTGAGTGTCTTCATGCTTTCTCCAGTTTTAATTCATTCTCCTTCAGCTTTTTTTGACCAAAATGGGAACTACGTTTCTGATGAGATTATGTTACTGCTTTCTGTATCATCAGCAAGCTCATATGTCTGCTGTAAACACTCAATATATATTTTATAGGATATGAGGGTTTATTTTAGTTACATCACATTGGTGACACAAATAGGTCTTTCTCCTGTTTCTCCAGCTCCTTGGCTACAGCAGAATCCCCAAGAGTCTCTATTAGGGTATGACCCTGCCTTTGGTACCATTAGATTTGATCTAATTTCTATTCTTTCTTATTAATTATTCAAATTAAAGTTACCTTGCTTTGCCTGTGTCTTATTTCGATTTTGTCCCTCTCAACTGATAAGCCCTTTCAGCTATATATTAGCAGCAAATTTCACTAACAGGCTCTCCAGTGTCTCAGATTTTAGTGAAGTAATTCCCATTTCTACCTGTTTCCACCTCTTTAAAAGAGAGATCAATCCCAAGCCTAATTCTTCAGCTCTAGTAGTATTTTCCTTCCACTCAGGAAGGAAATTTCTTCCTCAACATTGCAATCTGCTAGTCCCCTTTTAGCCTTTATTCACCAGTTTAAAAATTCGTATTATGATCTACACATTTTCTCATTTCCCATGTGGTGTGTTATTGAAGTCCAGATGGTTTAGATCTACTATGTTTTCTCTGAATAATAATTAATAGTAATAAAAAAAAATTGAAAAGAAAGATTAAGAAGTTTATTCTGGCATGGTATGCCTTTGACAAACTCATCTCACAGCACATTCCATTTAGCTACATATCCATTTTTTCATTCATGCTTTCTTGAAAATACTTGCATTAAATTCATTGGAGGGTGATGGCCCAGTTAACATATATTTAAGACAGGTGGAAAAGCAGATAACTACTATAGTTATTACACTTCAGTCATATGTTACCCCTTTCAGCTTCAGAGAAGTACTAAAATAACTTACTGTGAGACTGGGAAATTCATGTCCCGCACTATTCAATACTATAAAATAGAGTTTTGTGGGCTTGGCTTGGTTTTTCAGCAGTTTTTACTTGATCCTGACCCTTGTTGAACTCTCTGACACATTCCTGTTATTTTTCTCCCTTCTGTTGCAGGTTCTCTGCTTACTCTTCACATCTTCTGCCCATGACTCACTCATTCAGGTCTGCAGCACTCCTTTCAAATTGTATTTATTAAAAGTTCTATATACTTTTGAACTATTGAATTAAATAAATCCCAAAGCTCCGTTACATTCAAGTTTACTACTTCCACATCTCATGAACAGCTTTCCAGAATTTCTCAGTCTGGTCATTTGAAGCAGAAAACCTTAACTACCATCCAACCTTCCATCATTTTTAGCTGAACTACTGTCTAGCCGATCACCCTCCAGCATTGCTTAGAAGGACCTAGTTCTTCAGCAATGCTCTTTGTACTTTTCAAACTAAGTAGCTAATAGCAAGTCTTCCTCTTCGTCCAATAACTATTCAGGAGCCTTCTACTACAGACTGATTTGACACTGAATAACATTTGACACACACCCATCTTTGTGTCATTTTTTTCCTAGTTTGCTCCAGGAAAAAAGGGGAAAGCTCCTCTCTCCCACAAGAAATGAAGTAATAGAGTAATATTTAAGAACATTAAATACATCTCCACCTATCTACAAATCACACAGAATCACTATAGTTGGAAAGGACCTTTAAGATCATTGAGTTCAACCATTATCTAACTCTTCCAGACCACTTCTACACCATATCCCTGAGCACCCTATCTAGACAGTTTTTAAATACAACCAAGGATGGTGATTCAGGCACTTCCCTGGGAAGCCTGTTCCAATGTTTGATCACTCTTTTGGTGTAGAAGTTTTTTCCTAATGTCCAACCTAAACCTCCCCTCACGTAACTTAATACCATTTCCTCTTGTCCTGTCAGTTGCAGCGTGTAAGAAGAGGCCAACACCGGCCTCCCTACAACCTCCTTTCAAGTAGTTGCCAGAGTTGTTAATGGCAAACACTCACCATGCTATTCCATTAATATCTCACTGTTTTAAGTGATGCTGGTGGGAACAAACTGTTTTTATGCATTTATATGTTTCTTTCTTTGTTTGCTTCATGCTGTGTTAGTATGGAACAATTTGGATTAAAAGAGATCCTTGAGTCACACTAAGAGTCTGAAGGGTCTCATAGCTGCGTCAGAGACACATTCCAAAGATCAAGGACACATGATAGGTCCTATGAGTCTTTCTGTCAGGGATTTAAGAGAGAAGCATTATAAATCCAGTGAACTGCATTTGTCTTTTGGATAATTAAATGGACTTATACACTTTGTCCTGTTTAAGCCTCAACTTAAGTTGAGGAGTAGTGAGACTAGCTGAAGCTGTCAGTTCATAGCAAGAAAAACACTTCTTTAGAGGCTTGCTGGACGAACTTGGTGGAAGATAGTTGACAGTCAATATTAGGGATTTGTTGAGGGATTAAAAAAGAAAGAGAAAGCAAATATAAGGCACTCACTTCAAAGCACTGATTTCAAGGGAAATGCTAAGGAGGAAAGACATTGCTGAGATAACATTTGTGAATAGCCCAAGCATAAATGACACAAATAGAAAATCTGACATGTGAATCACCCGGGGAAGGGATAGCAATGTATTAACAGAAATGAGAATATAAAATTGTCCCCAAAAATAGACCCACTAGGAAAACATAGTTTTGGAAAAGGGAAGAAGTCCCTGCTGCTGATAAATTTTGCTGAAGAAGAAAAACATTTCCAGTCCTTTCTCTTAATCATGATCAGATCTGTACTTTTAAAATAGGCTACACCTGATCTACCATTCCTACCAAATAAAACACTTCCCTTCTCAAAGTCTGCAATTTCAATCCAAAGTGCTATATTTAATAAAAGTTTTAGAATCACGTGGGTAAGGAAGTGGCTTAGGGCGATCTTTTCATCCCCTACAAATGTTGCGATAGCAGAAATTGGCCTAGTGTAGCACTACTGCACTTCAAAAGCAAAAAGCCAAGTTCCAGAAGTGGCAGTCTACATTCCTCTTCCAACAGGCTCTTTCTGTTGTTTCCAACACTCCCTCCCAACTGGGGTCACTTTGGAAAGCTGCCCCCTGCTACTTTTCTTTTATTAATCACCATCTTGGCTTTTTTAAAATGCAGACAGACAGATTACACCTCTGCCTTGCAACAGACATGCGGCAAGGTCCGTTGCTCAGCTGCTGAACAGCAGCTTACTGTGGATGGGCTGATCAGTGCAGAGAAAGGAGTGGATACAGACTTACTAAAATGGTCTGACTTGCTGGACAGATCCTGAACCCTCAGTAGCCAGAAAGCCCTCCTGTATGTCAAAAGCTAAGGCTGTATTGATAACTATTTAGTACAAAAATACTATGTTCTCTCTCACTTTTTTTTTTTAAGATAATGCAATATAACTACCGAGCTAAGAATGTAATATATGAAAGCTAGTATACTTTTTTCCTAACATTAACTACCCAGGATCAAAAGTCAAGCTAAGAAAAAGCTAAATGGCAGACAGATTAGATACGGATGCATTCTTATGAGATGTGTCGATGAACACACAGACTCCCCTGGTTAGAAGGTCTCTGAAAATTGTTTGGAAATCCTAAAAACACCTTCAAAGTACCCAGGGCAAGGAACCTATGGATCCCAAAAACTGGGAATCAGTCTCCTTCCCTGAGTCCCCATTATTTTAATATGCATGAGAGCTGATGGCATGTGGGAACAATCAATGAGAGAATGACAGCTGAGTAAAATTTCCCAGCAAGCTAATAAAGCTGTGGTCTAATTCAGTCACACCCTTTATACATCTGGGTTTGGGGTCCTCCCTCACCCCTTGGCCAGACCAACAGCATAGTTTTCAGTTAATTTCCAGGCTGGACATTGTCTGTAGACATAGGTAGATTTCTTGAGAACTTCAGAAAAACCTCCAAACTTAAAAACAGATTAAAAAAGAAGCAGCAATTTTCAAAAGTACCAATACACATGTTTACTAAAAAAGTAAACACAAAGAACTTTTCAGTCCTGTATTTTTTAGTAAGTGTGCTACATTCTCTCAGGGATGGCTGAAGTAATGCTCACATGACCAAATATCCACATGCTTTGCTCTATGTTCATTTTCTGAGCATGCAATAGGTTTTGGCAAATTTTTGTTTAAAAGAACGGGGATTTGGAAACTCACCAAGATGAACTTCCCAAAGAAGATCCTTGGAGAAAATATGAGCCTGTCTATTGAAAATATTTCCACCCTCTGAAGTACTGCTGAAATAATTAACTTTTTCAGAGCTGAAAAGGGTATCAATATTATTCAGATGTTCTACACCCTCTTACTCAGAATACGGTTTTTAAAAAAGGAAATTTTATGCCCTATGTCACAGATCTGTTTACATTAAGTACAAAATAACTCCTGTACTGTGAACATAAATTAGTATTATAACCCCAGACAATAGTGCAACTATTTATCAGTGAGGCGTTTAAATTTCAGACAGGACCTTCACACATGTGCAAGTACCAGTAGATTCATGTGATTTCCTAGATCAAGGCCTTTAACTGAAGCAAATTTAGTCTCTCTGATTGCCTATTAGAAACCTTTGGGAAAATCTTTTATTGGCTAACTTTTATTACTTTGAAGCTAATTGCTATGAGTATACAGAATGGATGTGTACAGTGAAAGAGACCATTTGCTATTTGCACATAGTTCTACTAAATGGTGAAAATTAAGATGATTATTTCAATTTTAAAAGCTGATCTAGTTGTTGTTAAACACCTATGGTCAAACTGAAAGCAATTAATCATTTTATCATCAGACACATAAGAAAAGACAGTCATTCACATACAGAGAGAGGTAAGCCAGATCTTAAAACTATTGCAGCTTAGAAAAAAAAAAACAAACAAACTGTGGGTATACCAATGAATGGTCAGAAATACATTACCACGGAAATGCACAATTTTTAGAATTTTATGGATAACTTTTTCAGTTACAAACTGCAGCTGTATGTCAAATAAGAATCTTAAGAAATGTGTACAGACCAATGCTAAATAGCGCAAACGCATGCTTGTATTTCTATCTGCTGCTCCTTATATCCAGTGTATAAGATTGCTTTAAGTAGTAGTAAATGTTTGTTGGCTTAAAGGAAGAGAAGTAATACAACAAAAAAGCAGTATGTTCCTAATTAAAACCAAACTGCCAGAGCCTAAAGCTTACAACAACTATTTCATAAAATGTCTACAATAAACACATTAAGAGGTTTTGTGAAGCAGCTGGGGTTGAAAGCAGATTCCAAGAGTGCTGCATTTGATTCAAACATCATGTTAATCTGAAAAGCATTCCTGAACTACTTAAAATCAGTGGTTCATCATGCTGCATTGGTTTCCATCTGGATATAAAAAATTATGAAGAAAACCAGTTTGTAAAATGGATAGAACATAAGCTATTTTTGAGTACATCCATGCTTGCTTGGCAGAGAAAAGGCTAGTGATCACAGCCATTTGAATTCATCATCTTTTAAATAATCAACTTATCCTACCATTTTGTGTGAGTTTAGTGGAGCAGAGAAAGGACGTAATCCAGAAGGACTCTTTAGTGGTTTTTACTGCTTGGCTGTTGTTTCCTAGGAAAATTCCCTTTGAAAAGGGGAGTTTGAGGTAGCGACCAGAATCCTGAAGGTTTGTGTTTTCTTCACACTGTGAAAACAAACCAATTAAAATAACTGTACTGCATAAAAACAAAGACCAAATCCTTAAATTACATGAATTATTATTGTTTCTCTAACAGAAATTGAAGGATTTTCACTATGCTTGTTACAGCTTTGGTTTTGGATCATAGCTTCATGTCTGACATTGAAATCTAACAAATTTGCATAGGTTATGTCAAATTAATAGCTACAAATTTTGGTCTAAAATTTATCTGGGAGCATATTAGATCTTCTGAACAAAGAGATAACTTAAATGTGGAAACAAAAACTCCACAAAATTGAAATAGCTCTAAAAATAATAACATTAAGTAGATGTGCATAAAGAGCTTGCTTGACTTTTCCAACTTCGGGAATTCAATAAGAGGATATCATGGGGCTCACTTTGTGTGTTTTAATTGAACTTACCTTCATGAAGAACATTGTAAATAAAATGTAACATAACAATAGGACTTAGTGAAACTGGTACACTGAACTACATACCTGATTCAGTTGTAGCTTGTAACAAGAAGCTTAGTATTAAACGATCATTAATGGATATTTTAATGGTGACAAGATTATCACTCATTTGGTAGTGAATACAGACTTCCTCAAGTGAATGTTTCTGGGCATTTAAAGTATGTTCCAGAGGAATCATTACACCTAATGATTACTAATTCAAATTACCTTGTGTACAATGAGTTCATGGGTGCCATCTGGCAAAGTCCTCCCGTTTTCCTGCATTAGGGGCACGAAAGAAAAGCCAAACAACTTCTTCTCGCCCTTTTCTTTTGCTGAAATAGACATGTAAATAACAGCACTTAAAATTAATTTTATACCTTTTAGACAAAATAAATGCATAGAATGCAACATAAGAAAGTATACTAGAAGTTATTTGCAGCTAGTCAGCCTAAGATTATCTTAAATTTCATTTCAGATTTACACATTACCTCCTGTAATGGTTTCTTTTACCTCACTGTAAATCAGAAAGCAGTATTCTGGAACGATTTGGTATTTATTAAAAACAAATACTGGAAGCCATCAAGCATGCAGTCTTAGGAATATATAGACAACAAGGAAATCCAAAGGAATGTCACCTAGCTAGTCAAATATGAAGAGAAAAGGATTTTTTTGGTGACAAGTATTCCCTACAGTAGCTTCTACCTGATGGTCTCCATTTTAGGTCAGGCTCAGGCTACACTGCACTTATTTTCAAAAAAGACATCTGCTTCTATAGATATGACTAAAGATCACACTGTTTCTTACTCAAACATTAGATAGTAGATAACATTTACAAACTTGTATACCTAAGATCAAATTCCAAATCTCATCCAATATCTAAATATAAAGCAGACTACAAAACACTGAGATGGCATAGTTTTTACTTAAGCCAATGAATGCAGTTGCTGAATACTTTTGAAAATCAAACAATTTTTTACCAGATGTTTATATATGTGACTTTTGAGGTCAAGGTTAGCACAGTTTTGATGATGTAGATAATCATAAAAAAAAATATCTGACTTGTACTGCATGGGAAAGATTGTGCAAAAATGTATCATCTGTTTGAAACATAGTACTGATGTTTTTCCTTTACTATTTCATAGCTTACAAAAGAAATCCTAAAAAGAAATCAGTGAAAATGTCTTCCTATATTACCTGTTCCTTATATTTTGAAGTATGTACCCAAAATCTAAATATTCTCTCACTTACTGTGTGTGCTACTTTCTTCAGCAGCAATCTAAATAGTCAAATCTTGCTAGATCTACATCACTAAAAAGACAAACAGCAGCAGCAGTTTAAAAGATGTCCAGTTTTACCCACCTTTCTGTAGAAGCTTAACAGCAGTCAGTATTACAGCTATGAACCTTTTCTTGCATACCTTGATATGCAGAACGTGGACAGAGACCTCAATTTTTACCTCAAAATCATCTCTAAAATTCTTCGGAATGTTTAGAGAATTTTTGAATTTTATTTTGTAAGTAAAAGAAGGAAAAAAAAAGCAATACAAAAGTAATCTTAACTGACCATGATGTATCAATGCATCTACATATGTTTCCCAATGACTGGATTGCTAAACACGTACGAAGGAACAAGTACCATTATGGATAATTCACCACGTAAATTCTAAATTTGCTTTTTGAGTTTACCTGAAATGCTATTCATATTTGCAGCTGCAATGTTGTCTATTTCTACTAAAAGAACTAGGCTAGTTTCTTCTGGTATTTAGGCTTCACCAAAGCACTGAGTTTTACCAAGTAGAGCTGCAAGCCTGAGAAGCTGTGTCATAAAAGCATCACAGAGAAAGTTCATGCAGCTGCCTTTTTCCTGAGGTATTATGGAAATGCATGTGCTGACTGCAGCTGTAAGGGAGAGGAGAAGCAGAAGGCAGGAACAGTGCTTACTGGAACAGTGCCGGAATTCACAGCGGATGTGTGCTCCTCTGAATTTATCCACAGGAATAGGAAGCTTCAGCAGCTCAGCCCATCTGGGACCATTGTTATGGTAAAGCACAAAGGAATGGTACTCGCTGGCTGGGGGCTCCCCAGAGCCAAATGAGATAAAATCCTAATAAAGAAAATATAATGATTAGTGATTTAAAGACAGGTTAGTTCAATGGTAAGATGTCACCAAGGACTGCTCTTCCAAGGAAGATACTCATATAACGCCACATGCTCAATATCCTAAAACCCACAAAAATAGTAGCAGTTTGTTAACACTTGCTGTTTAGAAAAAAGGACAAGAATCATCCACACCAATGAGAATCAAAGTGTTACATAGAGGGAACGGGGTGATCAAGAAAGCTTAAGCAACAAATGTAGAGTCCCATGACACAGCACTGTCTATCCAGTGCTATACCCAAGCAACAAACAAGAATGTAACTGAGGCAAGAACAGCCCAGGCTCAAAATTATTAGTCCTCTGAAACAAGCATGTAAACCTGCTGCCGTCAGTGACTTGTCCCTGCATGGGGAAAAAAAAAACCAAAACCAAACCAAAACAACAATGACAACAACAAAGAATCAAAAAAACAACAAAAAAATAAAAAAAAGAAATCTGGATTCTCCAATTAGGAAGAAACAAAGTGTTGGGCGCTTTTGCAACACCCACAATGGTCTCTCCATAGCAAAGTAGGCAAATGGATTTGTCCGTGTCCTGATTTGTGCATACCTCTTAATTTTCTATGGGAAAAGTAAGCTGTAACTTTTCTCCTCAGCAACTATAAGGGATCACCTTTGCGTTTCAATATCCTCTTTCTTAAAGTGCATATGCATTAAAAAAAAAAAAAAAATATACACATGCTTGTGTACATATATAGAAAAACACTCACATGTTGCATGCCATGTATTTATATTCACAGTCTCACTTCACACACACACACAAAAATTTGCACCAGACTATTTGTGTCAGCCTTTCTTCATTTTGTCACCCCATGGCCCTCAAAATCACACAGAACATGTGAAAAAATACTTTCAAATACAACGGAAAAGCAAAAGATGCTAAATATGTATGGAAAAGGCTGAAGGTGAACAGAAATCTTTCATTTTGTATAATTAAAATATAAAACGGTGTCTGTTTGGAAGCTATCACCAGCAGCATGCAATGAAATCCAAAGTAAAGAAGGAATATTAATTTATTACTTTATTGGTACACAGTGGTTTTTACATCAAGGATCTCTGATTTATTAAAATCAAACAAAAAATTGAAAAAGATTGAAACATGTTCTGTGTACCATAAGAAAACATATACCTACTAGGAAGTATTAGTATAAAATAAAAAAATCTCCAAAATATTTCTCAACATTTTTCATTATCTTAATGGAATCATTAGCTATTTGGTTGACAATTATAGGTGTTTATCTGACTCATGTAACAGATCACAGAAATAAAATTAGCATTCATTTTATAAAGCTTTTAAGCAAAGTGGAAATACTTCAAATATGTAAAGGGAGTAAAAGATAAACATGACCTTTCCATACCATTCCTGTACTCTTCAAACAATGCCACAAAAGATGATCTACATGTAAAAAAGCGTATCAAAATTAACTACAGCAAGGAAAAATATACAACAAAGATACCTTTAAAATTTGGCCACTGCTGTCCACAACATGCATTGTTACTTCCACATTTCTGGCCACGCTTTTCCCTCCTTTCTCAAATTCTCCTCTTTCTACAGTGATATATAAATCATTCCTCATTTCACCTATTTAAAAAAAAAAAAAAAAAAAAGAAAAAAAGAAACACAGAGTGTAGAAAAGTCAGTTCAATTTGCTTACTTTGTTTTTACTACTTTAGTAGAGTCACCTTCTCTTCCAAACAGGGGACAGTATCACACCCACAATTTATCAGTATTTTCAGATTTTAAATAATAATGATTATTTTCATAAACCAAGAAAACAAACAAAACTTCACTCCTCTCAAAGCCCAAGGGATTATCAGCCATACTAAACCACTTCTAGGGGCTTTTACTCATCTGTTAGCTCTTTTTGGTCTTTATAGTGGCATCTCTAGCTATACCAAAGCTGGGGTCTAGTTTCATTTAATTCCTCTTTTAATCAAAGGCAATATTAATGTATTTTCTTTAATTTGTAATCATTACATTTCTCTTTTTAGTGTCTCCTTGAAGAACTGATTACAACTTTTTTACACTTGATCTCAAAAGAAAATGTATTACTTTGAAGAAGCCCTTCCATCAGAAAGGCAGGCTTTTCAGATTGCTAGCATTCAAATCTATCTTTCTGATCTAAAAGTTCTCAACATATTTTTTCATTAACAGAGCATTCCAAAGCATTACTCTTCTTTTGTTATATAAGAAATAAAAATCTTCATCAACACATGCAAACTACAAACCAAATACAGGCACTAACTAGACACTACTTAGTATGTACAAGTTATTAAATACTGCTAGCATATTTAAATTTAAATTCTTTGCACATTCATACATTAACATTCTAAGTATTCTATCAGACAGTAACCAGATTTTCTGGATGAGATCAATGCTAACTTTATTTTGGTTTCAGTTGAAATAAATTGCAAAGCTTATAGTTGATGAAAGGAAGATAGACTGGTTGACAGTTGTGTGGGGCACAGGACATGGAAGAAGCAGTACTGGTGATGACTGGACTGGCATGGTAATGAAGCTCCTGTTCTGTTTGAAAATGCTAAATCTGTTCCTAAAACTTGTAAACTAATCTAGGTCTGGACAAGCATTACCAAAACTACTTGGAAGCAATTGGACTTGCCTTGTGAAACATAGAAAACCGAAGGACAAATAGTATCACAATTGGGAGCATCTTCTAAAATTCTGATTTCTAGATTTGGTAAAAAAAGACATTGAGAAAATATGCTTTCATGTAGTGAAATGCAAGTTTAGCATAACGGGAATATCCTCTTTTAATAAAGCAGTTTTTCACTGAGCACTGGTTAAAAGAAATCAAATATGTTAGTTTTGTGGTTTTATTCATAGGTGTACCAATTAGAATTCAAACATAAGATGGATACTTGTACTGTGGGTAAATTCAATTAAAAGATATGTGAATAAGAATAAGAATAAGAAGCGCATCTTCAGTTTCTGGCTTCATTTAAATGCACACACAAAATCTGACCTGCTTGCACTCTCTGGGATCTCTCATGTTTCACATTTCCTGCATTTATTTTACACCACACAACTCTCCAGTGATTTTTAAGTACCAAAAACAATGATCTTGTTACAGTCTTCTAATATTTTATAACATTATTCCATCACCATATGCAAAGTAATTAAATGATTCCTCCAAAGCACAATCTAAACCATTGCAAAATGAAAAACAAAAAAGGTAAAAGAGGAAACTGCTATATTATCAAACCGCCAAGAATCATACTCATAAAAAAGGGGAGAAAATCTGCTATTGAATTACCTTACTATAAATTACCTTCTGAAACAATTACAGACAGAGGCTTGAATACAACTAGACAGAATGAAAAGAAACAAATACCAGGACTAGATAGTATTCACGTAAGGGTTTTGTGTGAAGTCAAGGATGAAAGAGCTGAATTACTATAAGTGTATGCAATCATTGAATCAACTCAACCTCTGACTTTTGTCAGGAACCAGGCTTGAAATAAGCAATGGTGGTTATCCAGGTAACGGACACCAAGTCTTGTAAAAAAAAAAAAAAAAAAAAAAACCCCACACATACAAAAGCAACTCCAAAACAAAGCCCAAATACAACTCAAAATCTCTGAAGGATGTTGTGAATGTGAGAAAGCTATAAGCATTCAAAGGAAGAATAGAGAAGTCATGGAAGAAGAACTAAGGGATATGAAACAGAGGATCAGAAGCAGCTCAGGAAATCCCCTGAGTTGAAAGTAGCTGCAGGCTGAGAGCGCATCAGGGAGTAATTACCATACATGCACATAAGCATGATCAGTTCTCCATCTTCCTCAGGTATCTGTTTACAACACTCAGCTAAATGGGCCATTGGTCTGATTCAGTAAAGCTGTTCTTATGTTCATTCAGGTCACAATACCCTTAAACCAACAAGATTCTGATCATTTTCACACTGCAGTAATATTTTATTATAAATGTTTTAGAAACCAGTATAGTATGGTTACCAAAAAGTGTGCAATATGTTGAGTCCTAGCTTAGTACACACGTAGTGTACTAGTTCTAGTTAGTTAGGAGTTGGTCACTTTCAACAGTTTCACTTTCAGAAAAAGTGACAACACAAATTAATCAAAAAGAGAAGCTCTGTTATAGAACTGATTTTAGCTAACCACTTGTAGCTGCAGCAAGTACTCTTTAAGGATTAACTTGAATTCTACATGCATTTCTGCTACATTCGGTCATTATGCTCACTTATCACAAGGAATTATTTTGGTTTTCCATGGGGTTTCACAGAAACATAACCAAATAATCTACAGAAATTTCATGACCTAGCCCAGATAAAATCAGAGAAAACAAATATTTTCCCTTTTCAGAGTAAACTGTACAGGATTTAAATGCAAACAAAAATGAGAGTGGAACAGGCTGCCCAGAGAAGTTGTGGATGCGCTGTCATTGGAAGTGTTCAATGTCAGGTTGGACGTGACTTTGAGCAACCTGATCTAATTAAAGATGTCCCTGTCCATGTAGGGGGCAGGGATGATGATCGTTAAAGATCAAGGTGATCTTTAAAGGTCCCTTTCAACCCAAACCATTCTATGATTCTATGCAAAAATAAGAAAGAATTTCTAAACAGAAGTTAAGCAGGCATTCAAAAATAGTGTCTGCATTTTAAGGATTTTTTTAAAAACCCAAACTCATTTAATTCCACCTTTTTAGTTGCCAGACGAAATCAAACCACAGGGTAAAAAGATACATGAGGATGTACTTTCATGAATATTGTCCTGTTCTCCTTTTACAGAATCTTTACAGAGTTTGTAGTCAGTGTCGTGAGAGAATAACTCAGATGAATTTTGTCCTGTTCCACATCAATTCAGGGTGTTCTACTCTCTTTTCAATGTCTCGGAGCAAATCAAGACATGTAGATCCCATAACTGAAAGAAAATGTCAGATTTTTTCATTTTCTTGCAAGGAAATTAAATTCAAGAGGATACTAAGCCTCTCACACTATATGAGGAATACTGAAGTTTTATCTGGAAATGAATAGAAAAGCAGAATGTGAACTATGGGCTATATACCATTGGTACAGTCTGCAGCAGGCAAATATAGCAGCAGCTTCCTTTTCTCAAATTATGTGGCATTTCTGACACTTTATAATCTTTACAAAAATAGAGGTTTTAGTTTAAATTTGGCCTTCTGTCTGGATTTGTACACACGTTTCACTTTTGGTTTAAAAAAGATCACTGCTTGCAAAGAAAAATGTAAGAAAACCAACTCTATTGAATTTTCAAAGCTCAGGTAAGTGTACTGAAACACTGAGAACTGAAACCCATGCTCCTGACAAATCTTTAGCACAACATTTGTATGAACATATTATGAATAAAAGCTCATAAAATCAAAATGTTAATGGGGTCGTAAAAATCAAGCACAAAGCCTTATCAGAAAATAGCTGACAGTAAAAAAAAAAAAATATTTGGAAACTTCATTTCATTAGAAGAACATGCACCATTTTTCTATGGGCTCTTTGCCTTAACCAGTATACCAGGCATATTATTCTGACAGATTAAATCACCTTTTTACTATAAAGGGCAATTTCAGCTGTAAGTTGCACTGAAAGGTGAAAACCTGCTGAATATCTAAGTTCTGAGGTAGATTTTGGTAAGCACAAATGGTATTTTCAGCTAAAGTACCTGCATGACTCAAATCTCTGCTAAGGTGTATGTGTACTGAAATTTTTACCCAGTCTTATACCTAGCCAAATATGAGGAATTTACACAGAAACAAGAAAAGCATATCTTAAACAGTACAGTACATCAGATTTCAAATACTGGTTGAAAACACGCATATACAGTAGAATCTCATTCAGACATGGTGAGACTTTAAACATGATGAAAAAAGCAACACACTTATCCAAACTTATTTCCATGTTGAAGAATAAAAAAGTCCCTTTCTCTAAATCTGTCTCTAAATCTGATGTGAAAACATCCAATGGTTATTTTCAGCTTGAAGTTTGCTATAGGAATAAGCAACTGACAACAATATTGAAAATTATGCTCAACCTTAAGGTGACAAACATACCTCTATGGATAATGAAGTTGTGTCATATGAAAGATCTAGATCACATAAAAGCATTTCTTTCAAAAGAAAGACCAGCTCATTTTTCCCTGTTCTTATGAAGCATTTCCACTCCCAAACTGTTCCTGTGACGGCTTTCTTTCACCTTTCTAAATTCATGAGCACTTCCAGATCATTCAAAGAACATGTGGGTACCAATATCCAGTTAGTAACACTGTTAACCAGTATAGGGTCAAACCCCACTCTAAGTCAGCTTTGTCTAGGACTGACATACAGAATTTTGGGTAAAAAAAGACTATAGAATGGTGAACACACACAGAAGGATCATTGAACTGTTTTGTGAAGCTGTATCACCTTAATCTCCTTAGAAGTGAAGGACAGTTCTAGACATGTGGGTTATGAGCTGAATCAACAGAAGCTGGAGAAAAGCAAATTAAAGAGGCATGTGTTGCTCTTGTGTGTTGTCTGAATTATATCACTTCTTAAAAAGCTGATTATCTTGCCAAAGCTACTTTCTAGCCATTATCCCAATAAAAAAAAGACAT